TCAGGGCCCGCTTAATCATGGGCCCCGAATTTTTTGTAATTGTAAATGCTCTGTGGCGATCTGAGGAAATTTCTGACCACTTTAACCATTTTTGTTTCGAAAAGATGGTAGTGTACCCAGTGCCTGCCTTTATTGCGACGTCACTTAAAAATCAAAATTGTTGGTTTTTTTTTTGGGGGGGGGCATGGTCCCCCCCCCCGGATCCGCCTTGTCCGCTGTTCGTCTTAAAATATGAAGCACAAGCTCTGTTTGCATGCAGGGTTCCACTCAGCATGCCACTTAGATTCCGTTGAATATTTTCTTGAAATGGCGATAGTAGTATTTGCTGAATACTTTGAAAGTGTTTGGTCAGTTGGTACAGAAATAATAATAAAAAATTTTTTTTTTTCGTGAGAAGCAACAAAATGGCTTAAAAACTTAAGAAGGTCGCAACTAACCTGTTGAAGTTTCAGCTCAGTGGATACTATCATTCAGAAAAAAGCAGAGAAAACGTATGCACTATTTTGTTGGATCTCGTTACTTGATTCCGTGCTTTATAACACCTGAACTATATTTTTTAATTTTAAAAACACCTGCAAAGTTTTCAACCGATATATCAGGCGAAATACTTTCATCGGGTATTTGATACCAGTCTTATCTTCACTCTCAGCATTGCAAGGTTTCTGTCATTAAATGTACTTTTCCGGGCAATTGCAAATGATCCTACGTGGCCTTCTTTTTGCATACAGATTTCTCTCAGAAATCTCTGGGCATTCGTTTTGGCAGTTACTGCGTTTGATTCGAAAATATTAAATCCTTCAAAGAAGACATGAATATTGTTGCTCGTGCGTGGGTCTGTTCAGGGCCGTTGCATGCAGGACGCATTCCGCTTAAAAAATATATTATCAATCCAGATCACATTTCGCCCGACAGAGATTTTGATCTGGGGGTGTTTTACTTGTGAAATTCAGCTATGCCTCCCCCAACAGCCCCCAAGATATCTCCCAGCGGATTTTCAATGACTCATTTTCGTTGGTATTATTTCCAGCTCGCAATCTGCTGAGTGTTGAGGATTCCCTTCGTGATAGAATTCAAGAACGTTACATCGAGGTGAGTGTCTGTTATTTGACATTTTCCTCACTCAATCATCAGAACAGAGCAGTGATTTTGGGGGAGATTGTAATTTTTTTCTCCATATTTATACACCTTTTGGTCAAAATTTTAACAGAAAACATCGCTCGAGTGATATTCCCTCCCTATAACACCCACCGTAGAACTGTGCCAGACATTTTGGCCTGCAGTCTTTGCAAATTCCTCGTTAAACTCATCAGGGTGCCTCGAACTTATAGCGGAAACACGCTGAAATTTCCTTCACATTTTTTTATATGCAGGTACATCAGTTGGCAAAAAAAAGAGAACTAAGATGAAAACAAATATTGATCACACCAATATTTAGTTGCTGTGTAATCAGATTCTTTGGAATTTGTCTTCTTTTATTTATTTTTAAATCGGAATTGTGTTCGCAACCGTTGTCCTAATTTTTTCTTGATCGTTGATCACGTTGTAATTCGTTTGTGATTGTTTATCAACTTCGGGAATCATAACATATAGGTTTTTGCGTCCAATTTCGCAACTTGTTCGTCCAATCTGAGAGACTGTTCATTACACTGCAAAAGGTCGCATTTAGCGCATTCGAATTTTTTTTAAAAACATTTTACACCACACCAAAGCGTGAAGGCAACTTTTTCGTGCAAAACAAAATCCAATCTTTGAAATAGCTGTACATTCCTTAATCCAAACTTGTCAAAAGCCATGTCATTTTATACTCTGTTGCATCACTATGACACAATATCTTGCTAATGCAACTTCCAAATATCATTGAACTTGTGTTTCTTTTGTAAACGTATGCATCAAAGTGAATTCCCGAGCGGGACTGAAATTCAAAGCACAAGAAATTCAATGCACAGTCACGTAATTTGCTGCTTACTTTTCACGCGTGAAAGAAGAATACCCTGAAACATGTTGAGCTTTCGCTAAATTCAACCGGGTGTGAAAAGGTCTGCATGTTTTATGCGATTTTGATTTAAAATGTTTTATTGTTATTATTAGCAAAGTATGAAATTGGGCGGGAAACCCTATAACATTTCACAGTGAATGAAGAATTTCATTGCTGCTTTAAAACTCATAGCGAACTGGTGTTAAAAGGAAATTTGCCTGGCCAAATGCAACAAAAGCTTATAAAATGACAACAAACTTTTGACCGAGTTCCTATAGTGTCTCAAAAATAGATACATGCCTTTAAAATGATTGGAAAAAAAGTTTCAATAATAACGTTTAAACAAATTGAAAGCTTATTTAAAGAATCAGTCAATTCGAGAGAAATTGAACAATGCGACATTAAAACAGGTTGTTTTTCTTGACGAATTCGGCCGAGAAAACTTATTATTGTAATTACTTGACCGTAATAACTTGGTGAGAAATTTTCCTGTTTTGGGGTTGCAATGTATCCAAATGAGAAAAAAATCTCACTCATTTATCTTAATTGATAATAAAATAGTATTAAAGTGTAAACTTAACCAGTCTTCGTTTGTATGTTTTTTTTTCAGCCTACACTGAATTCCTTGTGATCTCTTCTTGGACCTGATCTTCAAGAACGAACCATTGAGGTGGGTGTGGTGAGGTTTAATTAATGATTCTATCAGGACCTGGGAAGGGGCAAGATGTGCTTCGCCCCCTCCCCCCCCCCCCCCTCCAAAAAAAATACTACAGCTCCGGAACGCTTCGCCCTATCGGAATGCATTTTGGTGACCTTTCTTAAATTTTATTGGCAGGCGAAATAAAAACAAATCGATTCGATGGGTTGCCATGACAACCGGTTTTATAAACTAGGCTTCTCATAAATGTTAGCCCTCATACGCCACTGTTATATAACAAAGAAAACATTCTTCAAACAATGATTCCTCCAATATCATTTTTTGGTTTATTTTTCTTTCAAATCTGACGGCGGATTGTCATGAATTTTAGACTAGTTCTCCTGTTTATCAAACCTCAATATTTTTCTCTACTCTTCCCGTTTTTAAAATTATTTTTTTGAAAAAAAATCTCACCTGATTTGTTTCAGTTTAATCGTTGTTATTCTGTACAGAATGAAGATCTTCGTGGCAACCGTTATTTCCTATCGCCCTCCTTCTGGGTAACTCCGTCAACCTCCGAGCTTCCGTTACTGGGCCGGTTGCCTCGGACGGTGATGGTCCTGCGTCTCAGGCGGGCCAAACGTGCTGCCAGGAAACAGCTGCAATTGTCGGAATTTTACAAGGGTCAAAGGGTGATGCAGGTCAAAAAGGAGAGCCGGGTGACGACGGCAGAGGCCTGCCGGGCAAGATGGGACCAAAGGTTTTAGTTGGGCCAACAGGAGAAACTGGTGTCAAAGGTCAAAAGGTGATATCGGCCCCCGGTGTCAGCGGGGAGCACGTGGTGTCAAAGGTCAGTTGGGGCTCCAAGGCCGTACTGGTTTTGCAGGCGAGCCAGGGCTTGTCGGACCGATTGGCCCTCAAGGTGACACTGGGCCTAAAGGTTCAGTCGGGCGAACCGGTCAGACTGGTGTCAAAGGTCAAAGGGTGAGCCAGGGGAGACACCAGACGACTCCAACCAGCGGGTAGCATTCACCGTGGTGAGGACGAGCGCCTCGGATGCGCTGACCTTCGCCCGTTTGCCCTTTCAGGAGACCGAGACGCTTCTGCCGGGTACCAGCTTCGATCTCGAGACCGGCACGTTCACGTGTGGTGTGCCGGGCACCTACGTGTTCATGTTTTCTGTGTGCAAATATTCTTCCAGC